CTGTGGGTCCAAAGGTTTCCAAAGCCATTAAAAGCAAACAAACAAAAACAGCTCACCTCTCCTCTGGTTTAGGTATAAATGGCAGCTCCAAAATGCTAGAGACGGTGCTTTGAGGAGGCTGATTCAAGGTTGAGGGCAGTGTCGTGTCTGGCTTCCTCAGAATCAGAGCAGGGGAAAAGAGCTTGGTCAGGTGGCCTCTGGAGGACGTCTCCACACAGGGAAAGGAGGACAGCATGCTGGCCGTGTGACATCAGGGTAACTGCTGTGGGCAGCAGGGCTTGACCTGGCAGCTGTTGCCTTCTAGAATGTTCCGTCCAGAGAATGGGAGGCTGGGTATCTGTCCTCTGGCTAAAGAGGTTGCTGTGGAGCTTTCCCTGTCCTATAGAAGTTAACTAACTGTTGACCTCCAGCTTCAGGGAGGGGGCACACTGGGGTCAGGGTGGGCTTCATTTGTGCTTGAGAGGCAGGTTGACGTGTGAACCCACACTGAACTCTACCAAGAGTGGTAACCGAAGTCAGAGGTGAGTGACTATGTCACAGGGGCCCGAAGCTCCCGGTGAACCATCCCTTCTGAGTCCCCTGTCCCTCCTCGCTCTGCCTAGAGTGGTGATCTCCAACAGACAGATTATCTGTTCATTGCCATCCAAGTCATAGGATGGAACCTTAGGAAAAAGACCAGTCTCCAGCTTCCTTCTGGCCTGTTGGCTTGCCCACATCCTGCCTCTGCAGAGACACCTGTGTTTGAGGACATCTTATAGCCTTGATGACCCCAAAGAAGGCTTCTCTCCCAGAGAAAATTGCAGTTGGAATTGCAGAGATGGCCCAAAGGGTCAGGATGCTTGCTGGGCAGGCATGAGGACCTGAGTTCCAATCTTGAGCCTCCACATAGAAAGCCAGGCCTGGTCATACACTGGTCCATGAGGCCAGGACTGTAGGGGGGCGGAGACAGGAGGTCTCTGGGACTTTCTGCCCACCCACCTAGCTCCAGGCTCAGTGAGAAACTGTGCTTCAAAGGACTAAGATAGAGGGTGACAGAGAAGGACGCCTCTTCTGACCTATACACACACACACACAGAGAGAGAGGGGGGGGGCGGGCAAAGGGTCACCTCACCTGGCTTGGAATGTCTTTTCCGTGGGTCTCACCTGGCTCACAGTCCAGCAAGACTCTCCCACGGCTGAGTTCAATACCACCCTGGGTTACTACGGCCCACAAACTTGCCCTGCTTGCTTTAATCTGTGTACTATGCCTTCCTGTGTGAATTGGGGACTTCCATGGGACACAGTGAGGTGTTCAGTTTATTCACAGGTTCTAAGGTCCTGTCGGAACCAGCAAGTATTTGTAGAAACAAAGGAGGGAGGGGAAGAGGAAGCGGAGAGAAGGCGGTTGCCAGGAGATAAAGCAATTTGCTTGTCAAAGTTGCCAAAGATGTCACCTGACACACACGGGGAATTCCCAGAACAACTTCGCACCGAGATTCTTAACTCAATCTATTGCAAAACTCCCTACTTATTTAGGTACTTTGCCTCTTATTACTGTTTAAGATGCTCCAAGGGTCAGTGACTCAGACCACCGGGTGACTTGGCTGTGGTTTCCTGTGAGTCAGGCCTGCTAGACAGCCCTGGACAGAGGTGAACGGGAAACTAGGCCAGAGGAAAGCGACAGACAACAGACATGCAGGAGGCCTCCGCCCCGGCACTCCGGCCAGAAGGGCAGACAAACTGTGAACCCCAGACACTTGTGCCTGAGTGGGTGAGGTTATTCTTATGTCAACCTGAAGGTGGTGGTGGGTGAGGAGGACTGGAGTGCAGCCACAGCCTTCCCTGAGCAGAGCCGGCCTGATGGAGGATGCAGGGAGAGCGGACCAGGGGGAAGGCCAGCTCTTTTCTTCCAGCATTGGGGTCAAAGCCCCAAAGCAAACAGTGACTGCTGTGGCCTCCCTGGCTCTCTTCCCCTTCTGCCTCTTGCGTCCTTTCACCCCTACTTAACGTCTTCTAAGATTCACACCTGTCTGTGATACAGGGTACACGTGTGCATGTCACCACAGGAGACAAAGAACAAGAGTGGACATGTCCGCTGCATTTCCTTGAGAGCACAATGACATGAAGCATCCCCAGGAAGAAGCTGCCACAGCCTTAGTCCTCCTCACAGCCCACAGCAGCTGCCTGGTCCTCCTCACAGCCCACAGCAGCTGCCTGGTTTCCACTCATCTCAGGTCTCAGGATAGGTACCATCTAAACCAACTGGGAGGGAGCCAGCAGAGGGCCAGGTGCTTTCTGCATGGCCATGAGGACCAGATGCATCCTCAGCTCACACCTAAACAGCAGGCTGTGGCAGCAGCACATGCATGTAACCCCAGCGTGGGAACCCAGGACCCTGCACTTTGCAGCAGGATGGTGGTCTGTTATTTCCCCCAGGCTGGGGGACCTAGTGCAATCTAGCTAACTCTCAGAACCTCAGGCTCAGCTAAGGAGCGAGGTCTTGATACCAACATCATGGGGGTCTAGTTGGTTAATGGAGCCTCAGTGGGGTCACAGAAGGAAACCTTACTCCAGGGGGTGCGTGGCTCTTCCCTACAATGAGTTTGGCATCTCTAACTTCCTGCCTCACTGGATTCTCAGGCCGGGAGAGGAGACTCTATAATTAGGCTATTCTACTATGGAATTCCTCCCAGCCTCATGCCTCTCTGTTTTCCTCCAATTGTCTGCGCCTTCCTTTCCCACCCACAATGTGAAGCTGGTGTTGTGTGTGCAGGAAATGTGTTAAACGAGCCGATGTTTGTGTTACTGCCTGGTTGCAGGAGCCTCGCTCCCTGGGGAATGTCTGAAATGTGGTCGGGCGGGCCAGCCCACATTCCCACCAGCACTGTACCAGAAGATTGTCATTTGCAAAAAGTCCTGTGAGCGCCATGCGTTGCCTATGGGCACAGGCTTCAGAGGCACAGGTCCAGGCTACACCCAGCACTGCCCCTGAGCCTGGCTGAGACCCTGCTATGTGAATGACGTTCCAAACATCAACATAGCTCTCCAGAAAACTCACAGGAGTTGAATTAAAATAAGAGGAGGTATTTTGAAACTTGTAATGGGAGGTTCCCTGTAGGAAGCTGGGAAGTGAGCTCCTTTAGAATCTCTAACACAGCATGCTGCAGCTAACAGAGTGAGTGAAAACTACTACTGGTTCACAGGCCAAATCCAGGCCACCACTTGTTTAAATAAAGTTTTATTGAGACACAGCCATTGTTTACACATATTCTGAGGCTGCCTTTTTGCTACAGCAGGACTCAGGCTACAACAGACTGCATGGCCCACAAGCCAAAATACTTAATATCTGGCTCTTTGTAGGTTTGCTGATCCCTGCTCTGAAACAAAGCTTCTAAAACTGCAGGTTTATGTGACGACGTGGCAGGTCATGAAGCTTTGCAATCATGAAGGGCTTCAGAATGCACAACAGACAAAAATTAATTCAAATTCAAAACATAGCATGAATCCAAGGTGTGCCTGGCAGTGCTCAGCTGTGTTGCACAGCATCAGGTCACTGCAGCCTTGAACATATGACACAAGTAGTCTGCGCTGTGCATACGTTCACACCACACAACACCAAGAGTGCCACCTGAATCATCTCAGCTCAGATTTGAGACTATTGCATGATGTGAACTGAGGGGTTTACACATTACATACAAAGTCTCCTACCCTTACAGAAGCATAATTGTTTACATGTGGAAAACTAGGACTGTTAATATTTCCTAACCATTATTCCTAAGCACATAAGCATCAGATGAGCATATCTTTAGATTGTATCATATTAGACAAACAGGCCCCTTCATCTCATTGATTTGCAAATTTACTTTCCTCTCCAACAAAAGTTGCATTATACAAGTTGTTTAAAAATATAATTACTTTGTGATTTATTATCAATAAATGTTTCATTTATATGTCTGTTTCATGTACATATTTACCTGGGATCACATAAGATTTCTTCGGAGAAAAGAGATCATCAAATGGGAGAAGTTCAAAAAGGCTTAATCACACATACACATACACACAGATGCATAGAGACACATACACACACACACACACACACACACACACACACACACACACACAGACATATGCACCCATGCAGACACACACACGGCTCAGGGGCTGTTGTTGTTTGTTTTTTACTCTTTTGGGGCCCTCCACCCAGCTCCCAAACAAATCACACACATGGAGGCTTATTCTTAATTATAAATGCCCAGTCTTAGCTTAGCTTGTTTCTTGCCAGCTTTCCTTAACTTATAATATCCCCTTCCCCTTTTCCTCTGGGCTTTTCCCGTTCTCTTACTTCTGTAAATCTTACTCTTACTCCATGGTTTGCTATGCAGCTGGGTGGCTGACCCCTGGAGTCCTTCTTCTCTGGCTCCTTCTTTTTTCATTCCTCCATCTCTTTTTTTTTTCTTGCTCCTCCCAGATTTTTCCTTTTATATATTTTCTCTGCCTGGCAGCCCCAACTCTCTCTCTCTCTCTCTTTCTTGCCTTGTTATTGGCCGTTCAGCTCTTTATTAGACCATCAGGTGTTTCAGATAGGCAAAGTAACACAGCTTCACAGAGTTAAACAAATACAACATAAACAAAAGTAACACTCCTTAAAATCATATTCTGTAACAAGGGGCCATCAAGGAAAAGGGAGTAGAAGGACTGTGAGAGCCAGAGGCTGGGGGGGGCAAGATGGAAACATTGTCTTCTGTTGCGACAGGACCATTACAAACATGAACTCACAGCAGCTGTGGGTGCCTGAACACAGCAAAGCCAGGCTAGATTCTAGCACAGACGGGGAAGTGGCTCACAAGTCCCCATCCCTGACCAAGGAGCTAGGGATCGTTGTTGGCGTCTGGGGGAAGCCATTTGTCTTTAAGTGTGTGGCCTCAGGTAGGTTGTCCACACTCCAGTGAACAGCTCACACCCAGGAGGATATGGACAGCACAAATTGGAGTTGATGGGGGAAATATGATGACATGAAGTTGAGGGGTAGAAGGGAGCTGAGGGTGCATCTGGGAGGAACTAAGAGAGGTGCAGGGATGAACATGATCAAAATACACGATACAGCATTTTCAAATAGTTGATATATGTATGTACACATACACGTGTGTATATACACACAGAATCCTGCCCTAAAGCATATGCTAAAACTCCCTGGCACATAGCTGATGGTCAGTACTGGTTGACAAAAACACACCCAGGTCCCTGTGCAGATGTGAGCCAAGGACTGTGCGCAGATGCTGAGGCACAGGCAGGCTCGCTCCTGTGCATGACTGAAGATCTGGGTCTTA